GAAGGCGAACTCGATCTTAGAGGACATGTATCCTGATTTTCCACTTCTGCGTGATAAGCCTTAGTGGTGCGGAAGAAGTACATATGCTACGGATGGGAGAATGGTGATGACCCCTAATAGAAGGGTTGATGTTGACGTCTACCTTTGGCATCTCTCCCAGTCCCGTGTTCTGCAGAAAAGCTATTAACAACTGAAGCGACACTAGCCGTGAAATATCTGGAAGTTTCGTTACGGATTTTTCGTACCGTCCCACTTGGACCTGTTTTAAATCTTGTACTTCCTTACTCAAATCTGCTTTTAGGCCAGTGTTCCTGCATCTATCTATGAACACACATGATGGCTGACACAGTTTCCCGTCCTGAATCAAATCCCTAAACCGAACGAAACCCCAGATCCAGTCAAGCCGCCAAGAGGGATCAGTGACGTTGAGGTCAAGTATCCCCTCAGTTGTGCGCTAATTTGGTGACTGGCACGGTCAACTCGTGGGTGTTTCTTTACTGCACCGACTACGTTGTAATGGCTGACGCGGGAGGTTGACCTGCGGGAGCGCCGGAGACAACGCTCATATTTACTTAGAAATAAATTGCAGACATCGAATGCTTCACGAGAAGTGGAGTACTGTATCTGCAAACATCCACTTGGAGGTCAAACCAATCATCCCTGGGGGCTTTATATCCATCTAGGTGCACGTAGAGGTGAAATGACTCATCTCCACAGGCTCGTATATCAACAAAGGTCTATCAAGAGGTGAAAAAACTCATCATGTACTTTCATGCTTCAGAAGGATTTGCGTGTACACAAACGATGCAATTGGCCACAGCAGCAATCATGTGTTAAGCCGCGTCTGGCCATCAGCAAGCTAGTCTTACCAGCCAAATCTGATCTCGTCTACAATCAAAGAGCGGCAGTGTGCATTAAGAAGAGCCTTGTTCCTCCAAATCCGGAAGGTTTATCACCAGAACATGACAGCATACTTGCCCAGTTGGTATTACTGATGGGTAGTCATGAGTCGTCATGCTATTTTCTTCCTCAAAAATAGAGTGACTAGCAGAAATAAGGAATGCGGATTAATCTGCAGCCATCACTCACATCATCACGCGAACTCAAATCTCCCTCCTTACTAATGATGGATTAAAAGTGCCTTAAAAAGTCCTTCCCCTAAATTGAAATGCAGAAAGTAGCTCAGAATTTGGAAGACCCTAAGAATAGGCAAGTGAAATGCAGTAAACACTATTTGGGTGCCTGTAGTACTCAAAGTGAGTGGCCACATACACGACCACTGCTCCTCTGCGTTTTAATTACCAGCAAGACCAAGATCAGATTCTGCCCCTGCAATGGCTTCCACATCACCAAACATTTTAAACGAACGTGAAATAAGCCCTACCACATTAAAAACAT